GTCTCAGGCCGAGTGGCTGAGGGCGTTGAAGACTTAAAGAAGGAGGCAAAGCCACTCCGTCCATAAACCCCGCGACTGCCAACCACCACACCGAGAACACACAAGACAAAAGGGACAAAACAAACAGCAGGGATCAAAATGGCACGGACACGGCGACAGGCGCAAAGGCAGGGCTGGGGGTCGCTGCCCACCCGCTCCCCTGGGGAAGTGTGGCATCCCCCGGATGCCCCCGTGGCATCCTGGCACCCCGAGGATCAGTAGCCCCTTGGGAGTCCCCTGGGAGCATGGCCCCAGCGGAGCTCGAGCCACCCTGCTGCCTGCTGCCTGCACCTATGCGTGGGCAGATCTGCCTTTTCTCTCTGCCCACGCTGCCAGTGGCAGCCAGTACCTAAATAACGGCAGCTCAGGTCATGGAGACATTTGGAGGGGAATAAATGCTTTTTTGCTCTCTTTTTTTCCCCTCTCGCTGTTTATCACTGCAGCTCAAGGAGAGGCTTTTCAAGGGCTAAAACACCTCCCAGCTTCACTGCCCCGACGCCGGTGCCCTGGCACTGCTGCAGGGGCTCTCCATCACCGCCTGCCTTTGCCCGGACGGACAGAGGGGTTGGTCCCGGCTGCGGCAGAGACGGACAGAGAGAGACGGGGTGTGCAGCGCTCAGGGGGCTGCATGCACGGGTGGGGACGTGCTGTGCGGCGGGCAGCGACATGCAACCCCCCCGAAAGCCGGGCTGGGGGTTTGTGCTGCAAAGTGGCAGCCGGTGGTGTCGGTGGGGATCATTCCCTCCCTGCTGCCAGCCGGGAGAAGTGCCGGACAGGCGCCGGTGCCCGGTCCCAGGGGCCAGAGGCTGAAGCATATTCACCTTCGTGATCCGGTGGATGAGCGTCTGCTCCCCGGCAGAGACATCGCCGCTGTGCCGCGGGTCCCGGGTGCGGGGGAACTGCGGGTTAAACACAACAGAAAGAGGAGGTGAAGGCAGGGAAACGGCCCCGGTGAGAAGGGACCCACGCAAAGCGCCGGCACAGGGATGAGCCCCTGCACCAGGGCGTCAGTTTAGTCTCCCGGGCCACCTGTACAGGGACAGATGTGGACTGCATCCCCTGCACATCTGGGCTGTGCTCCCTGCCTGTCCCCCATGGCCCAGGAACGCCGGGATGCCGCGTGCCCAGGGTCTTGCCCTGGCAGGACATGCTGCGGGCACAGCGTGAGGGCTTTGTTAATTTATAAGGCAAAACAGAAGCATAGCAGGTACCTGCACATGGTCTAAAGCCCCTTTCCCACCAGTCTCCAGGCACGGGACAAGCTTTTCCCTGACCCCAGGTCTCCATCCCTGCCAGGGAAGGGAGATCTGCTGCAGGGACACAGGGTGCCTGCAGTGGTGGCATTACTCGGGGCAGAGATGGGACAAGGGCTCTGACACCCAGCCCTGGACCTCACCGATTTTCCACCCGAGCAGTGGGCTGGGTGCCTACTTTTCCTTAATTAAATCAGAATCACCCATTCAACAGCAAAATCGGGTAAGGAGGCACAGATCCCTGCATGATGCAGCAGCAGCAGCTGATCCCTCAGGAAACACAGAGCCCGTTTTCCTGTAAATAAATAGGCCAAACCCAGAGGCTTGTAGCAACCGGCAGGAGCTGCTCGAGGAGGCAGCACCTCAGGGACACGCAGGGATGCGAACTGCAGCAGCGGAGGGGAGCTACGGAAAGCATCCGCTCAGCACATCCATCCCGGCGAGCATCCCACGGCACCGCTGTGATGCCCCACTCCACTCCCGGGCTGCCAAGGACAGCCAGGCCAGGGGCACCGCGGGGCTTCCCCCCATCCCCAAGCCCATTCCTGATGCCGGTATGTGTCCCAGATTTTGGCAGCTCCAGCCCAGAGCAATGCGAATGATGGGACCGGCCAGCTGATAATCGACGGGCGATTGGAAACGCTAAGTGCTGCTCGGCCCCGATCCAGGGGAGTGAGGAGCGGGACAAGAAGGGGAGGCAGGAGAGGAGGAGGGAGCGTGGCCAGCTCACCCCAATGCAGCCTTTTGCATTTCCCACCCCAGGGCTGTTTTTTTTTCCAGGCTACCTCCTGCCTAATGCTCAAAGCCCCAAACGGGCAGCCTGAGCCTCTCCTTTGCCCAGGATGCGCCTCTCCCTGAACCCCAAACACGTGCAGCTGCAGTGAGCCCCGAGCACCGGTAGACATGGTGACTCACGCCATGGAGGTGCCAGCACCCCTGGGACACAGTGACCAGGGTCTGGGGGTCCCTCTGGGATGGACACACTGGGGAGGACCTGGACAGGGGGAGGCAGCGCTCTGCCCTGCCGGATAACTGCTCCTGGGCCGACAGCACGCGTGGCCGGGCGGCTGCGGGCTTTGCTAATGCAGCAGCGTGAATCAGCATCCCGTGTGAGAGCTGAGCGAGCCGTGGGACCCCGCAGCGCTGGGCAGCGAGGACAGCCCATCCCTCGCTCCCCAAGCAGCTCTCAAGCAGAGCTTTAGGGAGATTTGCGGCCACAGGGATTAACTCCTCGCCCTCTTGCAGCCCCGTGCCCCGGCCCAACACAGCCCAGCATCACCGCCTCCTGCTCTGCCCCATTCGCAGCAAATTTACCCACACGCAAAGCCGCTCTGCTCGGGGGTCCCTCTGCTCCCCCCGGCAGCGCCGGGGGTTTAATGCAGCACCAGGCAAGTGCCAGCACCGCAGACGGCACGCGTGTGTCCGGCACACAGGTGGGTACCGCGCTGGGGGCTCCCGCGAGCGCCCCACGCAGCACCACGGGTGCCTGCCCCAGCATCCGCAGCCGGGAACGGCTCTGTGGGGAAGTCTGGATTCAGCCTCGCGCCTGGTGAGCTCAGTTCCTTCTCCTCCTCCTCCTCCTCCTTCCACTGCTGCAGACTCGCCTGGCGCCCACGCCCAGGCTCGATGCCTCTCACGGCGCCGGTTTAGAGGGTGAGAAACTCAGAGCAGCCCCATGCTGCCGCCACAGGGAGCCCAGCCAAGGTCTGCCAGCAGGAACCGAAATCCCGCTGAGGGGGAGATGGAACGAGCACCATCCTGCGCCCTGCCTGGGTCCCTGCCTCAGGAACATGATGGGCTGAGCATCCCCTCCCGGCTGGGTACCGGCTCTGCCTCTCCAGCCTGCCCCAGGGCGGCTTGAACAAGCAAGTTGGAATTTAATCACTGCTAATAAATTGTTCACTGTCTTTATTCCCAAAGAATCAATGGGCCATTTCAGTCTCCCCAAAAGCCTCACCGTGTCCACGGGCTGCCAAGGACAGGCAGGTTGGGCAGACTTAGCACCAAAGCTGAAAACACACCTTCCCACGTGGCTGCTTCGCCTCTAAAGGCAGAGGGAATTTCTTAATTGCACTCAAAATTACCACTATGGCATCGACCAGGATGAGCAGCTATAGCGCAAAGGGAGCCCCGCCATGAAAGCGAGAGGAAATCCAAGATTATCTTATCACATTTGAAATGCAAGAAAGGGAGAAGCGGTGAAGATCTCGGCTTTGGCCGTGATTTGCAGAGGGGTCTGCTCCCACGGAGGGGATGCCCTTGCCCTCCCGTGGCACCCATGCCAGCCTGACCCCCACCTCCCCGCAACGCCTGGCACTTCTGCCGGCTCCGGCTCGCTGCCGCGGCTGCTCATCGATTAGGCATTAGGAAAAACACATGGAGAGGAAATGGAAAGTGTTTAAAGATGAATAACCATGTCCCCGAGCATGCCACACGCTCTCCAGCGAGGAAGACGAGGGCAGCCGGGCGGGCCAGGAACCACGGGGAAGTAACCAAGAGCAGGTCACTAAAACCTAAAAACCGTCTAATAGATGGGGCTTGGGGCAGGAGTCGGAGCAAAGCTGCCCGGGCAAGCAGAAAAGAAGAAATCCCATAAAAACACAGAGGTGGAAAGCAACCCAAGCTGGGGCAGAGGGTGGGCAGGCTCATTGCGCCACGTCAGAAGCATCGGGGACACGGCCAGCGGAGCTGCTCATGGCCGGCCCTACGTGAGGAAGGCAGCTCCCGCTCAGCGCGGGGACAAAACCCCAAGAACGAACATGGGGAGCTTTGGCAGCAGGAGAGGAAACCTGCAGGCCTGGAGGACAACGTGCCACTGCCACCCATCCCGGGACTTCAAACCCCAAGTCATGCGAAGGGCGGATGAGATAAAGCCAGCTCTCACGTGCCAGAGACGCCCAACTGAGAGCCAGCGTGGGGATGGATTTCCTCCACCTTATTTTCATCTTTGCAAAATGAGGAACATGGGGAACGTCTTGCAGGACACAAAACAAACGCGGTAGGAACCCTCGCTTGTGGGTTGATCCTTACAGAGCTGACGAAAACAGCTTGTGCCCCAGGAGAGGGGACGTGTCTGCGGCACAGGCTCCGGAGAGACCCCGAGCAGCTCTAACCTGGCGTCAGACACCAGCGCTGAGCCCAGTGACACAGACCGAAAATGCTCATCTCTGCAGCCAAAGAGTTCATCTCCGCACACACAGTCCTGACTCCGCAGCACAGAGTTTGTGATTATACAGAGATTTTAACAGCCACCACCAGTGTGTGTGCACAGACACCGGGGCAAGGTTAGCGCGATTTGGGGAGTGCTGGCTTGTCCCCAGGCTGGGGTGGGGGACCAGCAGGACCCCGCTCAGTGTAGCACCTCTGCAGCTACTCCCGCTCACCAGAGATGCTGGTATGGGCCAGGCTCTGGTGGTCCAACTTAGATCCAGAGATCACGCTGCAAACCACCCATATTTGTTCCAGCATCTTGCAAATCACCCCCAAAAAGCATCTCAGGGGACGGGCAGGATAAACGCTGTCCGTTGCAAGGTGTAATGCTCTCTCCTGGAGCCACTGACAGCAAAACTCGCCGCGAATCTCCCAGCCCACAGTGGAACAGAAAGGCAGCTCTTTCACAAACAACAGCACAAAATAGCGCTTACCCTGTGCAACGGAATTAGCCTGGGGAATTCACGCTGAATAAAAGCAACGGTCCTTGATAAGGAAACAGCCGGAGTTACAGCACGAAAAGCTGATACCCCACGCAGGGCGGGGGGATGGAGCAGAGCCGGGGACAAGAGTCTCCCGCTCCCCAGAGTGGGAGACCCCCCTCACCGGCATGTTTTGCCGTAACCTGAACACTTTCTGTGGCTGCTGCCATCCGCAGCACCCAGCCCCAGGCAGGGCTCAGCCCCAGGCAGCACCCAGCCCCACGCAGGGCTCAGGCAGCCACTGCTCCCCATGGTGGCACTGGCATCCGGCACCGGCACCCCCAGGCATGGCATGTACCCCGTCCCCGCCAGCACAGGTCACTCAGCCAGCTCCCTGCAAGCGCCTCGGCATGTCCCCTGCGGCCCAGAGCCCCCACACGCCCCCACCATCCTGGGTTGGGTGACACCGTGGGGCTCCGGGTGCTCCCAAGCTGCATCCTCCAGTGGGTCCCCAGGGTCTGCTGGTGGCAGAGGGGATCTGGGGCACTGCTGCCCCACAGATCACACCATGATGGTGATGCAAAGCCAGACGGGTGGGCAGAGCGGTGACAGAGCGCCAGCAGAGCACCCCAAGGCGCAGCCCAGCACCCCAGAGGAGGATGTCCCCAAGAATTGAGGCTCAGCCATCATTCTGGGATTGCTGCCCCACAGCGATGCCTCTTTGGCTTGAACGCAGCTGCTTCCCCACTCCACGCTGGATCCCCCGGCCATGCCAGCGACCGACAGACGGGACTGGGCAGGAATCGCTCCTCCTAGAAGTTTCGTGCATGAAAAACGGGGCCACGGGACCCCTGGAGAGACCCTCGCCATCAGCTCGGTGAAGGCTCCGATGATTCCTGAGCCCGTTCCTCCGGAGGTTTCACCACCGCATGCTCCCGCTTCCCAGGCATCTCTCTTTACTCGACTTCTGCAGGGTTCAGTAGGAACCGGCTGCTGCACTGGCCCGAGCTGCCCCACCAGCTCGTCCTGTCCCCACAGGGAACCGGCAGAGAAGGTGCAAGAGCAGGCGGGCCCGTTTGGCAGCCCCAGCCCCAGCCCCAGCCCTCGGCTCGCAGCTGCCCCAGCCCAGCAGCCGCTGCATTTCCTTAGATTTCTCGCTCACTGCTTCTTTTGTCGGGTTCCTATCACCCTGCCCACTGCCGGAGTCTCTTGTTTTCCTTGACGCATCCTGCGTTAGGAGCGTTTTGCGACGGTGGCACCAAGCCCAAGCGTCTAAGAACGGCTTGACTGATTCTGCAGAAACCTTGGGAGAAAAACCATGCCTGGCACACGCCGGCGTCCGCCTTCCCTGTGGATCCCTCCCCATATCTTCAACCTTCCAGTACTAACAAGATGAAAAGCAGAGAGCAACAGGGGGAGGGAAATCACAGCTTTGTTTTTCCGGGGAACAAAAAGGGCTTCTGAGGAGGAGACATCCCTGCCTTTGCGACACGGGCTCTGCTTTTCCTTCACACTAAAAATAAGCAAAGTGCTGAACATGGCAAACAACCAGCAACCTGACCTGGGACAGAGCGCTGCGTCCCCAAAACACCGGCAATGTCAGGATCGGTTCGTGTTTGAAAAGGGCCTGGGATGCATTGGGCGGTGGTGGGAAGGAGCAGGATCCAAGGCTGGCAGAAGTCCGGCCGAGGAGGGGGTCAGCATGGCGGGCACCACTGGAGCTGCCGGAGGCAAAGACCCGCTGCCCAGTGCACAGCAGTGACCATGTCTGTGCTCCTCCTTCTGCCACGGGGCATTTTTTGGGAGACAGGGGCTGCTTTGCTTCTGCTTGGGAGTTTCCAGGGGCCGGGAAACTCTGCTCCCTGCTCCAGCAGAGATGGGCTCATCCCAAAGCAGGCAGAGCTTCACCTGGGTCCTGGAGAGAGGGAGATGCTCCAGTTCACGCCAGAGCAGAGCGCTCAGGGCAAGAGCAGGGACAAAACGCACAGGATGTTTACGCAACACCACCAGAAAAATCAATTTTGCTAAGAGTTGTTGTATCACGTAACGAAACACAGGAGCATCTCCTTTTATTCTCTTGTTTGTTATAAAATGCTGAGTTGACACCCAGAGATTACAGGAAAATAGAGACCATTCGAAAAGATCGGGTTATGCTGCTCATCGCTTTTCCAGCTGACCTGGCTGCAGTGCCAAAGGGGGAGGTGACAATTCCTGGCCCTCATTAGCTAAAAATAAGGTGCCTGACCAGAGGGAACAGGCTGATCTCTTGCTGGGGCCTCTGGAGGTAAAGGAAAAAGAGCTCCATGACAAACGCTGTAGTAGCAGCTATTGCCATGAGAGTAGGAGCAGCACACCCGGGGCGCAGACCCTACGGTCTTACCCAAGGCTGGGAAGGTTGGCGGGTTGGGGATGCACACGAGGTTACACCCCACAGCCCATCTTGCGCGGGGGCTCTGCCGGGGAACCGAGCTGAGGTCCAGTCAGCAGAAGGAAGAGCCCGCTCCTTCGGAATATGCAGGGAAAAACATGGAAGGGAAACCCAGCTTCCAGCGCAGCAGCCCCTCCTCCCCTCCGCGCCCCCGCGCAGTCTCCGTGCGGTGGAAGCCGGTCTCCCCTAACCACCCATCCACCTTGAACCAGGGCTGGGAAAGACGGTGGTCACGGAGGATTAGCCCCGGGTCTCCGCACCTCTGGAACGGCCTACTTTAACAACATGCCATATCTGCCGGCTCAGACTGCTGCAACGCTGCTGAGCTGCGAGCACAGACATTGCCCGCTCCTGAACCTCCTCCCACCCCCCGGCCAGGGTCCTCTGCAGCCCCGGCAAGCAGGATTTGCACCTTCTTGCACAAGGTCATGGCACGATGCACCCATTGCCTAAGGAGGGTGGGAATGCCGGTATTTTATAAGCACAACAATCGCACGGCAGCAGGTTTCTGTGCGACAACCAGGCAGCACTGACCTTGCGGGGAGGAGAGAAAAGGAGCACCCGGCTCATCAGTCAGCTCGTGTATTTTCTGTGTCCCTCCGGAGATGGAGCATTAAGCCATTAAATAATAAAATCTCAATTGCACAGCAGCTCCGGCTCCTGCAATGCCCCACAGTGCCGGGAGACGCGTTTGGATGTTGTACGAGCAGATGTGGGTCTGGTGCGTGCAGGGAGGGTCTGGTGCATGCGAGATGGGTCTGGTGCATGCAGCGAGTGCGCTGCGGGTCTGGTGAGCGTGATGTGTGTCCGATGCATGCCGTGTGGGTCCAGTGCATGCAATATGGGTCCGGTGCTTGTGATGCAGCTCCGGTGTGCGTAATGAGGGTCCAGGTGCGTGTAATGTGGGTCTGGTACAGAAGCTGCGTGTCTGGTGAGCATGACATGGGCCCGGTGCATGCCATGGGGGTCCAGTGCATGCAATGCAGGTCCAGTGCGTGTGCTGCGGGTCTGGTGGGTGTGATGTGTGTCCGGTGCATGCCGTGGAGGTCCAGTGCATGCAATGCGGGTGTGTGGCGGGCCCGATACGTGACCCACCCTAATCCCCCTCTGCCCCATGGACACCCCCCCCT